AAGGCATAAGATTAGGCTAAAGCTTAGACATAAAATGCGGTGAAGCCCATCCGTAAGGTTTTGCCTGCTAACATCAACGAACCTGAAGCAAATTTACCATCGTCCGATGTTAAACAGAGCGATACAGCGAAACCTTTGCTTTTATCACTCCATACAAAATCGACCTGACCGAGAAACTTGTCTCCTCGAAAGGAACCTGTCCACCCTTCGATCACACAGGTCAGAATAGGATTGGTCCCTTGAAATGAAAGAAAGCAAAGCCTCTATCGACTTTGTGCTGATTTTCCAACATGCGTTCGTTCATTCCCTCCTCAGCGATGCAGTCCTGCCCTCAATGCACTGCAGCTGTTTGGATATGACGGATCCGTGCCTCGACTTGCTTATGTGCCTCGGCAGGCGACTAGAACCAAAGAGGCGGTGCATGCTCACCGTGAATATCAGTTATCATTCTTTGAACTGTAATATTTACCAGCGGATTTCGAAAGCTGCTATTCGTGGTTGCTACCCCAGAATGACATGGCTGTATTTTTTATTTTTTTGTCTATAAAACGCTAGTCCTCGAAATTGTAAGCATATCATGTTATCATATCATATCATTGATCGTCGGTTAACGTCTGTGTTCATGATAAAGTTCAAGCAAATTTGCTAAGTAAAAGAATTATTGCAACTCTTTGGATAATATGACAGGTCTTTTCTGACGAATGTGACTGCCGCTGTATGCAGTGACTTCTGAAATGACCAGCATTTGACTGCGAAGTAGTCTTGAAAATCGATCTCCCGCCGTAAGATCATTTTTTTGGATGCAATACTTTCAACGCGTTCATCCTCTGGATATTTAACAGCGAAATATTTAACTTATAACTGCGTTTATTTCTTTGCCTCGTTGTTGTCATAATTTTTTATATTCCAGATCCTTAGCTCACTAGTCCGTAAGGAATGTAAACTACATTATGTGTCATAAGAGGATTCTAATTTCCTCATTCTTCCGAAGAAGACGAATTACTCGTTGTTTCTAAACAAATCATGCTAAAGTATTAAATGCGTTCGTCTGTAAAATTAAGCAAATAATTAAGGTAATTAAGAAGTGATTCAGATTTTATATTGTCAGAAGTCCTCAGCACTTATGATTCAAACCTTTCTTTGCATGATCGTTCTCATGCTGCCAATGAGATACATTTCTGGCACGTATTACCGTACTTGTCACGCATTGCACCTTGATCAGATGAAAAGGTAAGAAGACCAAAACACGATTTTACTCAAAATTGTATCATTAACTTTTCAGATAGCAGAATGGCAACAGTCGGTTTACAACAGTGTTCGTCCAGAGTCTATTCTCCAACTTGTCGCCTTAAAAGGTGGGTTGAGGTTGAACAAAAATAGCATTTGGCGATATTAATAAATTGTAGTCTTTGTCACTCTGAAAGTACGCTTGACATGAAATATAACCTAGTCAGACAGTCGCGATCTCCAGTGAAAGGTATCTTCTCGTGCCAACTAGACTAATCTATTAAAGAAATCAATACCTCGGCTGTGTTTCTTATGGCAACAGAGGGGGAATTTAATTTAGGTATGAGTCAAGTTTTGCTGTTTTTACCATCTGCAGAAAAATTGTGCGCATTCGATTGAAAATTTGACAGTTAATCTCGTCATAAGGTATTTTGAGCAGTTAGTCAGATATTAATAAATTATTAATTATGATTTGCTGCATTTAACGAGTAGCGGAGCCCGAGATGGGTAAAGGCTTACTACAAACTATCAGTTGGTGAGGTGCACTTAGCGCTAATGCAATTTTTGGGATGGAGGAATACAATGAAGCCGTGAAATCGTAAAATGCTACAGCAGGTATTCAGAAGAAAGTGGATGGTAGGCTACGCAGAGAATCTAGTTCCAGTGTAATGAACTAAAGGTACGTTTTGCTGGTACTAACGCTATTAATGGGAATTAACCTGAAAGTACACATTCGCTTAGTAATAACGAAGGCATTTTTTACGGAATGGCCTAATGAATTTAGACAAGTAGACGGCGCAGGAGGACCTGCAGACCTTGTTAATGCTCATGTTC